AATCGCGCGGCTAGTGAACTGGTTTTCGATTTCTGCATACAATTTTGCTACTTTAATTTGACTTGATTTATATAAAGCCAAAGCCAACAAAGGCTATGAGTTGGCTAGTCCATTGTTGTTTGCGTCAAATTTTCGTTTACTTTATGTACAAAATAAGACTGAAAATGAAAGTAACTAGTTTTAAAATTTGCACTCACAAACATACTTACAAACAAGTATACAGATAATATATCTGGATAGGAGCGGGATGTGAATTTTCTTCTTTATTTATATAAAAACTAGTTTCAAAATATTTTGTTTCAATTAGTTTACTATTCAATTATATGCAAAATTTTGTATGCCTTATTAAAAAAAAAAAAGTATTTATTCAATAAATATACATGTATGAGCTTCTTAAAAAACAACATAAACAGCATCTGCATATATATTTATATTTAGTACTCACCAATTAATCTTTCAAAAGTCATATAAAACAAGTAACTCCCCTCCTTTGGGGTGCGCAACACGATTCACACGAAGATCAAAGAGTATTGTCCGATAATGAATTATCCAATGCAAACTTTCCACTCAGCTTACAACTGACGTTTATGTTGATTTCCCACTGATTTTTGTGGTTTTACACGATTACAGAACTTTTTTAAATGTATTCACCGTTGTCAGAAACAGCTTCTAAAGTTCAAAATTGATTGGTTGCGAAACGAAAAGCAAACAAACCAAAATAAAAGAAAAATTCAAAAAAGAATTTTGCAGTTGTGTGGATTTTGTTGTTTTCTTGCTATTATTTTGCTGCTTGATAATATAATAAGCTAAGATGATAGGTTGTGATGCGCTGTATCTGGTTGCGTTACGGTGCAAAACTGGATTATTTTCGACACTATATGCTCCACAAAAGTCGTGTCGCTCTCTAGTGTTATAAAGAGACACTCTCTGCCACTTGAAGAGTTACAGGCTCACTGCTAACGGGCTTGGATACGAATTACAATTTATTTGAAAGTAAAATGCGTTTCAACTGCAAGTAAGAAATCAGTATTAAATTTGTATATAAAAAGTACTGGAAATCAGAATATTTTAATGTTTAATGTACGTACATACATACGTATGTGTATATTGTAGACGTAACACATACGGTGAGATAGCATTTATATACCTACACATATATGGCGAAATCGTCATTTGCTTGTGATTTTAGTATAAAGCTAAGCTATAATAGACATATATTTTGTATTCCATGAAGCGATTTAAATTCGTTGGAGGTGTATGCACCTCGATATCCCTAATTATTTGTCTATACTTTACTGCTCACCAACAGAAAGACAGGCACGTGTATTACGAAAGTGTATTGTAGGTTGGTTGCAGCTGCTTTCTGTATTTACTAGATTAACCACTATCGCAATATCTATTTGCAGTTCCCCTATCATATATACGCCTGACGTTAAACTTCAATTCGTCACGTCATTACGAAATTTTACTCTAAATCGCTTTAATGGAAAAAAAATTGCCGTGCAATTTTGCAAAAGTACACTTACACCTGCACATCAATATATATATCAACGCACATGGACAAATCCGCCACGGTTCAAAAAGATGGACGTCTGTCCGATTGGCAGATTGGTGCTGTTGGTGGTAGTGTAATTGCTCACAGATATGACAGAAAATTCCACAAGTAAAACTTTTATTATGTGTCTTATGTCACTATTAGTCATATTTAAAATACTAGATACGATAAATTTGTTTAGTTCTAGAATTACCTGGTAAATTTTTACAAAAAATTTATATTGCGTTGCGTAGAAAACACTAAAAAATTTTGTTCCGCGAGTTAACTATCTTCAACTTTTGCTGTTGCTGATATAATTTTCTGTCCCACTTCATCAATCAATTACCATACAATTTCAATCTGATTGTCAGCTCAGGGTTGTATTTGACGACGATGATTGAATTTCCTTGTTATCGCTAAAAGAGCCGATTACTTTAGAAATTATGTTAAAAATAATGTTCAGTTTGTAGACATAATGAACTTTTTGAACCTAATTTTTCACGGCGCTTTCTATAATAATTTTTTGAAAACTTTTACATAATTTTACGTACATTTAGTACGATATTCAGCCCCAACCAAAAGTTTCGGTTAGTTTTATCCATTCTTGGTTAAAAAACTCAGAAACTTTAATGGAAATTGCTGCAAGCGTTCTCTGTTAATTAACGTATGAGTAGTTGATAGTTGTCTTACTGCAAGGTACAGTTTATTTATTTGCTAATGCGTTTATCTTTTTGTCTTCGAATTGGCTGGTTCTTGCTTCGGCAGAACGTATACTAAAATTGGAACGATACAGAGAAGATTAGCATGGCCCCTGCGCAAGAATGACAAAAAAAACAAGCCTCTGCGAATGGCAGGCACCTTGCCGTGGTGCAGGGGCTTAAGTCGCAAGGCATTCTCGGCATCTCCCAACTGGTGCGAGCGGTGCTTGCACCCTCACACTGGTTGTCAGGAGCCGTATATACCAGTTTCAGGTACTTCTATAAAAGAAAAAGTCAAACAAATTGCGGGTCAATTAGGCGCTCAAACCTTTTCCGCATCAAATAGATGGAAACATGGCGGAAGCTACATACTCGTAATGTGACGTTTAAAAGCGTATGTGCGGAATCAGCTGAGTTTAATCCCGAAAATGTACGTCAATTCAAACAAAAGCTATAAGACATGTTATTAGGCTGCAGACCGAAAGTTATTTTAACGCAGATGAAAAAGGACTTTTTTCCGTACTTTGGCAAATAAGACTTTTGCCTTGAAGAACGATAAATGCGTTAGCGGTAAGTTAGCAAGAGAAAGATTAACAATGCTTTTATTAGCCAATATGACTGGAGATAAAGAAACGCCGTTAGTGATCGGAAAAGCAGCATGACCATGCGACCAAGCTTGGCAGAGAATATTCCAGTCACGCTACAACCTCCGAAAACTTTTTCAAATCGATCCACTATAGCATATAGCTACTAATCAGTTCGTGAAATCGTTCAAAATAAAGTTCTTGTATGGAACCTATTTTATTTGAGAAAGGTAAAAGCAGTTGTACGGTACTTACTTGGCACATATCGCTATACATAGTTATAAACGGTTTTTCATTTCAACGTACGTATGTTTGTATTTACAATGCAACATATTTTGTTGCATTCCTAAATTTACTGATTAAGCAAATATGATATATCAACTTTTATTATGACATTATACTTTTATTTGTTTTATTTTTATTTTATATCTGCACATGATTATTTTATATTAAATTTTAATACTAAATATAACACCAATAATTCTAGTCTTTGTTTTTCATTTTTCTATGCTTTTATTGCAAAATAAATAGAAAATAATCAAATAATCTTTTGGATTTCATATCTAATAAATTAATGAGAGAAAATATAACCCACGTTCATGCCTTGCAAAGAAAGCATATAAAGAGTAGTAACTGTAATATCTAACTAATAAGGAGCAAACGAATACTTGCAGGTTTTATGATAACAAAATATTTTCTGCTATGATTATTTGCATATTTTTAATATTAATAATATTTAAATTAACAAGTTGTATACTTATATTTAATCCATAAAACGGATTAACAAATTTAACGTTTCAAGCGGCTCCGCAACAATGATCGAATGTCACATGCGCTCGTGTTTGATACTGGGTGCATTCGAGATGGCAATTACGACAGCAGTGTTGCAAATTTATCGAAGTAACACGTTCTGCGTGAATTTCTGTCAACACTTGCAACAGCATTACGTTCTACTGCCACTTTTTGCAAATAATCGGCAACAATAAATTTTTGTCTGCACATCAGCAAATATGTAACACAGTTGCTGTACTGCTGTAATTATTATGTAGCTCGAACGCACCCACTATTTTGTTGTTTGGAAGTTGTTTGACTTAAAAAAGCATTTGTGTGTTTTTTTTTGTGTGCTAACTTTTAGCCAAAACAACAGTATTAAATAATAAATATGCGTAACTTAACCTAAAGTAGTTAATGAACTAAATATTACTAATATACTACGGAAGTATGATTAAGTTTTCTTCCTTCTTCAGTCAATATGTACAAAGCCACTTAATATTTCAAAATTTAGTAATTACATTTCTTGTTCAATTTGTTTATAAGTATGTACTTTCCACTAGAAATTAATGTATTGTTTTAATAGACAAATAGTCTACATAGCTAATATTAATTTTGCTCTTTTCTTTATGTATGAAACGAAATTTAATTTCTGACATATTTTGGTTTTATCAACTGGCAAATAACTTAATTAGTTAAATTGTAATTACTAGTTGCCGTTAGTAAACGTTTTCAGTAGTTTCCACGTTTATGTGCTAGCTTAGATGAATTATTTTGTTGCTATGCGCTATTTATACAGTCAATCTTACGAAATTATAGTGTACCTTCTAGGTTCTAGGTTCAATTCAAATTCTTGAATATTTTTTTTTCTTTTTTGTTTTAATTTTTTTTTTCAAACAATCATAAATATACGCGTTTTGAAGAAACAGTTAGTACCCATTGAGTTCACGTATTTATTTTTTATTACTAAATTTGCATTCAGTTCTTTTTTCACACAACAACATATTTTTGCATGGTTAATGGGGAGATGTACATTTTATATCGATTTTGAAGTTTATGCTCAAACTTCACTTTTAAGTTTTAAAATTACTTAATGTATAGTTTTAATTGTTACTATACAGCTATATCAAATAATTATGTAATTTAAATATCAAACGAATTGGTATACAAAAATTGGCCTAAATTATGATCACTTTCAATATGAAGCGAATACATTCGATAATGTGTCAATGTACAAAACACAACATAAAACAATTTATAAAACAGCTTTGAAATGTATGCAAATTAATTTGTTCGTTAATTTTGTAACAACACCAACGAACACTTACGCTTACCATCTTCATCAACACAGGGTGTTTCGCCGTTAATACACAGCGTTTAGAATACTATTTAGACCGCGCGTCCGCGTCAATTTCAAAACGTCTCGCCACCCGCATACCATGGATGTATCCAGGGTGTTGACGGTGGTGGTGTTGGCGGATATATTGTCGGCGAGGGCAGACCATGTGTGCCGGCGGCCGCAGCAACTGCCGCACTCGGCGGCTGTAAATGATATGCATTGGCCGCTGCCGCCGTGGGTGGAGAGAATAAAGACGATGCATGTGCTGCCGCCAACGCAGCTGACGAAGCCGCCGCTGCTGCGCTAAGCTTATGTGCGTTGCTGCTCGCATTCGCCGCCGCCGTAGATGATGTCGAGCTTGCCACCGATGCAGCAGACGCATTCGAGGAACTACGATGTGAACTGGCGTGTTCACCAGCCGCAGCAGCAGCGGCTGCGGCGCTAAACAGCGACATGAAATCATTTGCAGCTGCGGCAGCCGCTGCTACTGCCGAGGTTGATGACGGCGTTGCAGCTGACGCACTGTTGTGCTGCTGCTGCTGCTGTGGTTGCTGTTGCTGTTGCGTAGCTCGATTATAGCGGCTAGCATCAACCGCACGCGTCTGCTTTTCAACAGAAGTAGCACGCATTTGTTTGTCTACCGTGGCAGTGCTAGCGCCTAGCCAATCAAATGGGTTGGCGAAGGGATTGACGGCGGCCAAAGTGGAGTTGGCGCTTAGTGGTGGACTTAGCATTGTAGCGGCGGCAGCAGCGGCTGCTGCAGCGGAACCACACAAGAAGTTGTAAGCGGCAGCGCTTTCTGCTGCGGCCGCTGCAGCCAACTGTTGTGCAGCAGTATTTGTTGCCGAAGCATGCCGTGACGAGCTATTACTACTGCTACCGCTGGAGGCGTTGCCATTGTTTTTTGTTGTTGCTGAACTGTTGCCAACAGCGCTTTTTGAACCAAAGCCGTGAACATGACTAGTAGTGCTGCTGTTGCCGCTTGCGCTGCTCTGTTGGTAAAGCGGTTGTTGTTGCTGTTGTGCATGTTGGTGATAGTGATGGAGTTGTTGCTGTTGTTGGCGGTTTTGGGAGTACAACATATCAAGCGAATGCGGGTGCGTGTGAGGATGAGGTGGTGGTGGCGCCAACGGTGCTGCATGTGTGCTAAGAGGTGCATGCATAGCTGCAGCGACCGCGGCTGCGTTTTGCTGCTGATGTTGTTGTTGAAGATGTGCAGCAGTCGCCGACGCGCATGTTGCTGACGACGATGACGACGTTGGTGATTTATGTTTCAATTGTTGCTGAAGCTGTTGTTGAGCTTGTTGCTGCTGATGTTGTTGCTGTTGTTGTTGTTGTTGTTGTATATGTTGTGCTCCCCAACCCATTTCCTAGCTTATGCGTGTCCGCTTCGAATGCGGCTGATCCTGATTTCGAGTCATAAACAATAACTGCTTCATATATTTCATGACGTCACGAACTTGCACCAACGGTATATTTTCATTATGTGAGCGATCCTTTTCCATCAGTACTTGAAGTTGTCGCCTAATTAATAAAAATAAGCGTAAGTTATTTTATAAACATAAATTGTATAAATATATGTATGTATGTATGTATGTATGTATATGCACATTTCGAAATACTCACCGATTGCCCTTGTATAGCTCTACACCTAATGTCTCGAACAGCACCTTACAGTTCTCTAAGGATTCGTGCGGGAAGAAATTCTTCTGGAAATCAGTTAGCGTCATCAGCTGATCGGAGTCGTTGTACGCCTTCATATTAATGCAAGGCACCACCCGATTGTCCACGTAAACATTCTGCACTTTATATGGTTGATTGCCCATATTGCTGGCTGCGCGCTCGTACTGCTGCATTTCCGGTATAATTGACAGTCTTTGCGCATTATTCGCGGCGGCAGCTGCGGCCATCGCTGCATGACGTTGCAAATGCATGCTTGCCGAGTTCGCGTTCGCCGAAGAGCCACCTGTCGCGCGACCATTTTGTTGCGCATGATGTTGGGCAGCAGCAGCTAAGCGATGTTGCTGTTGTACCGCGGCAACTGCTGCTTGGTGCACTTCTTGCTGCTGTTGTAGATATGCGGAGGCAGCTTGAACGGACCTTCGGGGGGAAGATAAATCAATTACTTCCATTGGTGGCGTATTCTGGTGATGATTTTGACTGTGGTGATGGTGGGAGGAGTGGTGGTGTTGATGGCTGTTATAGTGTTGGGAGGTATAGTGGCTGCCACTCTTGCTCGCACCACTGCCTGAACCGCCGGCCGAGCCATGCAATCGCGTTGGCGATGGTGAAGGCGTGGAAGTGGAGTTTGACGTGGAAGGTGATGGGGGCACGGTCAGCGCTGTACTGGTCGAACAAATGACGCTCTTCTGACGCCCACAACCACTGCCAGCCGAGGCTGCGTGCGGTGAGTGTGCATATTGGGAGGGTATATGTGGCGTAATGGTTACATTCGGATTGGGCACAATGGACAGTGATGGCGCCGGCGATATGGGTGGCGACATAAAAGGAACAAAATTCTGTGACGAATTTGTCTGTATGAAAGTGGACAAGTCGGGATTAGAAAGTACCTTCTGTACAACAGCTTTCATTTCGTCTGTCATTTTGAATTTCTTTTCAAAATCCTCTAAGGATGCCGTTGAATTTAACGGTACTGTGGCACAAGCTGAGGTAGACGACGCACTTGCATGACGCGAGGAGGCGGAGATAGTTGTACCTGTGGCACTGCGTTTGTTTGAAACATCCGCAGAGCTGCTCACTGGTATTAAAGGCGGTACCGTTGGTTTCATAAACTGTCCATTGGCCGAACTACTCGAAGACGTGTTGCTCTTGTTGTTATGCTTATGTGGATTGTAATCCAGCATAGTTTTAAGATCAGTATCCAATGGTAGCGAGGGAAAGATCGGAAATGCAGGTGGTTTACTAATATTAATGCTGCTGCTATTCGAACGCTCAGCGCTTGAGGCAGCTGCAGTACTGGCCACTGTGCCATTACTCTTGATTTGCTGTGTGAGCAATAGACGTTGTGATGGAGTCAATTGATTCCAAAAGGCTAAATCAGCAGCAGTGGAGGGCAAATTAAAATTGTACAGATTGGCAGCACTGGACGCGGCAGCTGAGGTAGCGTGCAGCTGTGAAAGTGGGTGTGAGGGGCTTTGGATATGAGTGGCAGACGCATGCGGGGAGGCGGAAGAGGAAGTGGAAGAATGTCGTTGTTGCTGTTGTGTTTGTTGTTGCAGCATAGTTTGCTCGACATTTGACCTAGAAACATTATATATAGAATATTTTTGTCAGTTTCACGTACGTTGTGCGTTGCGCATAGTTTGTTTATTCATTTATTTAATGGTTTTTATTTACAAAATTGTACATTTCCAAATTTAATTGCAATTCGATTTAAATTAAATTAATTTTCATAATAACGCGGTATGCAATTTTGAGATTTTCGTAATTATTTTAATTGAGTTGCATTTTTTTTATGTTTATTGCACTTGTATATATTTTATGTCTTTTCGGAAATTATTATTTTAAGCAATTTAATGCATTATCAACAGCAAATGATTTCAGATTTACAGCAGAGTATTTAATTTTCTCGTTTAATTAAACCACAATTTTAATTGACGCTACTTTCGTTGTTTTTGTACACGCATTATATATAATGTATCTAGGGTAAAAAATATCTGAACATTATTGGTATGTTGTTAGATTCAATACAAAGAGCCAGAGGTGAGAGCAAGAGAGCCAGATATTTGAATGAACCAGTGAAGTTGGGTGGGGTACAGATTGGGTTGATTGTTTACATTTACGTTTGACTAATTAATGGTACAGGTACTTGTAAAATTAAATATTTCTTGTTTAAATTTATGTTTTTCAAATGTTGTAGTTCCTTTTTAAAATTACTTTTTTTCATTACTTGATATACAGTGAAAGCTATTTAATCAAACATAAAAATTATATTAATTAATTGTTCTTCAACAAATGCTACAAAACAATGTGACTACGATACAAATAGATATTATTTAATGCCAGCTATTCAATGAGGACATTTAATATATTAACTAAAGTTTGAAAAAGTTGAAAATGGAAAAACTGTGTGCATATATAGAAATGCATAGCAAAAAAAATTTATTCATGCAAAGGATTTGTGTGGAGTATTCAATAGAAGCGCAAACGCTTTTAAATATATAATGCGAAAGTTTAAAGATACTGTGTAAGTGTTACAGAAAACGAGCATAAAATAGATTTCAATGTTTAGAAGGCAATATGAAAAATTCATGTAAGCATTTTTGCACGCTACTCCATTTTATATTGCAATAAACCACAATTGATGTGAAAAATTATATTAATTGAAGACACAAAAAACAAAAACAAAAAAAAAAAACAATTGCATACAACTTTGCCGTACAATATGAATTACTATATATTTTGTTTCAAAATAACAGGCATAATTCTTTTATTTCCGCATAATGCAGCACTGTGCACGCAAGCTTGGAACTATTTCTTTTGGCCTTCCCTCCAACTTGCTCTGATCACTTTGACAGTTGACAATAGCAACAATATACAAAATAGCATAACTTGTGAAAATCATTAACTGAGCGAGTTTTTAAAGTAAAGAAATCTTTAAATGTCGAAAATTCTCAAGTGTTGGCGTATGCATGTAATAACGCTAGTAAATTAAACGACAGTAATTCTCATGCAATGCAAGTGACGAAGTATTCAGTGGCAGCGTTCATGACGCCTTTAGTGAATATATGTGTGTGAATTAGAAACGTCACATTTTGACGGCTACTCGACGTTGCAACGAAATTGTTAAACTATACGGTGATCGAATAACATACATACATACATATGTGTTTCTATATGTGATGGCAATTAAACCACAAATTTCATCGTATGGCATCAAAATGGTATGTGATATAAAAACTGAATCAAAGCATATTTGTATGCATATTTAACCTAATAAACTTCGGATATATACATACATATATGTATTTGTATGAAATTTCATTACATACTTTCTTAAATTTTGTCAAAAATCTATAACAACAATAAGAAACCCAATATCGATAAGAGGAAGGGGAAAACGAATTTTGTTTGGTGAAAAGTATTAAATTAAATGCGTGCACAACCACCGATTTTTTGCAATAAAAAAATTTTAAATATGTATTCAAATTCAAAACAATCTTCAAAAGGAAATTTGTTTACGTAGAAAAAAGCAAAAACATATACAATTTTGCTGTATGGTGCACACTTTTCGTAAAAACATAACTAACAAGATGAAGCGTGTATGCACCAACAGAAATAAAATTCAATTTTCTTCTTTTTTAGAATTTAAATATAAAGTAATCGACAAACGAATTACAACTAAATTTGAAAAACACATTTTTGTAAACATTTTCTTTTAGAACAGATAAACTTTTAGTCAAAACTCTTGTATAGACTTTTAATAATTTTGTAAACAAGTTTTAAAAAAAAACCTTTGAATTGAGTAATAAATGTAATATTTGTAGTTCTATAAAAACATCTATTCATACTCACATATGGTTGGCGCTTTGACCTGCGCCTGAACGCACCAATGGTGGCGGTGCATTCGCTTGATTGTGACTATTCACGGGTTGCATAGAAATCGCTTGATTGTTGTAGGCAGCATAGGCCGGCCGGTTTCCCAGCAGGATATTCTCCATTGGACTGCGTTGATACTGAGCGGCACGTGAATTTGGGTGGGACTGTTGCGCCTGAAAGTATATAAAATGTTTTTTTAAGGATGTGACTTATTTATCGGATATGTAAGATATAAGTATGTAAGTAAAGTTAAAGAAAGTTCCTCATTGTTCAAATGCGCAGATTTCTACATTACCAAATATATTGTAGTTCTTTACAGACTATATTATTTGAGAAATTATACCTTATACATGGCAACCCTAAATCATAAGCTTCCGGCTGGTTGGAGCTGTGATGAAAACTAGTGCCGCTAATAAGCTCGAACTGTATAAATTATTATGCATAAGTGGTACTTTAAGCGTTCATTTATTATATAAGAATATATTTTAGCAGTTTTTAAAATCCATTTTTGCGAATATTTGTTTGTGTACACAGACACATACAAATAAGCAAAAGTTATTGGCATTATTGCACATTTTATCACGTGCTCCATCTCTAAAATTTG